CTCCTTCTCCTCCTCCTCCTCCATCTCCTTCTCCTCCTCCTCCTCCGCCTTGTCGTGATATCACTCCTGGTTCTCCCTGTTTTCCGCGTGGCGTTGTTCTTCTTGCGCCCTCGTCGTCTTCCAGCTCATTTTCCTCTCCCCCTTCTCCTCCTCCTCCTCCTCCTCTGTTTCCTCCTCCTCCTCCTCCTCCTCCTCCTCCTCCTCCGCCTTGTCATGGTACTGCTGGTTCTCCTTGTTTCCTCGTGCTCTTGTTCTTCTTGCCCCCTCGTCGTCTTCCAGCTCATTTCTTCTTCCGCATTCTCTCCCCGCCATCCCGCGCTTCGTACACTCTTGTCGCATCCTTGCTTATATTCATCGATGGGTGGGTAGGTTGCGGATCGAGGGGGGTGGTTATGGGTTATGTTGCGTGCTATGGAGGGAGAGTGACGAGGACTACCTTAGCGCGCGCAGTGCGGGCGGTGGGGGCGATGCCCGCACACGAAAGAAAAAAAGCATACAAAACGGTACTCATTCGTGTGATAGTATGCCTCTTCTATAGAGACAAACAAGTTAAGGTAAAGATAAAGAGTCATAGGCATTTTTGCCTCCCAACTTTTCGTTTGAATAGTCTGTGTATACAGTGTGTTGCGTTCTTGCATCGAAAACATTCTTAGGGCCTACTAGTAGTTGCCCTACTCGCCATCCGCCATCATTTTGAATGCATCTGGACAGGTCTCCTGTGCATGTGCATTCGAAATGTTGGCGCATGACGAGTAGCGCAACTAGGCCCGTATAGAAGACTGTTTTTCGACTTGTTGAAAGATGATGTAACGGAAAGCAAATGGGAAAGCACGGCTAACAAGACAGATCAGAAGGTGGGGAAAAAAAGGGGAAAAAAAGGAGGAGGAGGAGGAGGAGGAGGAGGGTATTTCGCACATGACCAACACTTAACCGGCCATTCTCTCTCTCTCTCTCTCTCTCTCTCTCCCTTTTCTCTTTGTTTCTGTGTCTCTCTTTCTGTCCTCTCTCTCTCTCTCTCACGCACAGATGGCCATCGGGCGGGGTGGAAGGATAAGCGGCGGGCAAAAGAGAGGGTAAAGGTCGGGATCCATCGAGGTAGCAGCGGGGTGGGGATGAAGGGTGAGGGGAAGGGGCGGCTGGGATCCCGTCGGCTCTCTCTCTCTCTCTCTCTTTCTCTCTCTCTATGTATGTCAGTCTCTCAGGCGACCATCGGGTGTGGTGGGAGGAACAGCCTCGGGCGAAAGGGATGGGGGGGACGACGGTCGGGATCCCGTCACCTCTCTCGTTCTTTCTTTCTCTATGTATGTCCGCCTCTCAGACGACCATCGGGTGGGGTCGGAGGAGCAGC